CGAACCCGCGGGCTCAGGCAATCCACTCACCTCAGCCTCCCAAAGGCGCGGGATTACAGGCTGAGCCACCGAGCCCGGCTCAAATTAAATTCTTAATACACATTGACTAACTTTTGCTTTCTTTGGGACTTGTTATTTGAATTTCAGGTTTGCATCGCCAGCTTCTATATGTTACTTCCTTTTATTTTATTGGATATTATCTTTTAAAACGTCAAGACTACATGTATGCTGTGAGAGACCATGATATGTTTGCGTACATAAAATCACATCCGGAGGATTTTCCTGAAAAAAAAGGTATTTCAAATTAATTGTAGAAAATCTCTTTTTTTACTGTCTCATTTTTCCTGGTTAATCTTATCCATGCCGATGGCTTTAAGTACCTTCTGTATTCTGTTGACTCTCACATCTTTGTCTATAGACCAAAATTCTTTTTAATTTATAGATTGAATTTCTGGCTCTGAGTACTTCTGTGTCTCTTGGACAGCAAACAAAACTCATGCCCTCTATGCCTTCTCAAACGTCCTTCTCCTCCGCATTCTGCATCAGGAAATGGCACTACTGTCCACCTGAACACTCAAGCCAGAAGCCTGAGAATCATCTTCAAGTCATTCTCTTTCACTTCCTGTAGTCCTCAGGTCTTATCAGTTCTACTTCCTAAATATTTCTCAACTTTGAACTCTCCTCTCTTTCCTGCTTCCGCTGCCCTAGTTCAGGTTCTGATAATCTCTTACTGGGACTATTTATTGCCCTACTTCTAACTTGACTCTTTCTTTGGTCTTATTTCTGCTGCTAGCAAATCTGATCACATCTCTCTGTTTAAAATAGCCATCTGTTGCCTATAGAATAAAATCCAGACTCCTTAGGACAGCTCATTTCCCCAGGCTGAACTAATTGTCTCTCCTTTGGTGGAAACACTTTGCCTACATCTTTTATCTACTACATTATGTACACATGTCTGTGCTTCTCGTGGGCTGTAGCTTCACCTTTGTTTCCCTAGCCTCTAGCAGAGCCTGCACAGACACTTATGCTGATCTGAACCACACGAACTCTCCCTCATCTCCATCATTCACCTCTTGCCTTGTGAAATACTTTGTCCTGAGTCTGTCCTGTATCACTTTGTACATGTTGGACCTTCTCCCTGATATATTCTTCCTCCTCTTGCCCCTGTTTTCCACCCCATCCATCTAGCAAACTTCTGCTTAAGATTCATCATCTCACTGATGCCTTTACCCAGCTACAGTCTAGTATTCCCTCAGGAAACTCTGTCTCTGTTCAACTGTGAATATAATTGTAATGTAACTTTTCTTGCCTATATTTTGCATACAACACAGATGTGCATATACATGATGTCTTTATAGGCTAGGAATTTAACTTACTAGGACAAAATATTTGGCTTCCTAAGGCCTACAGAGTGTTTGGCACACAGATCCTTAGTAATGTGTGAATTAATGATACAGGAAAATTTTGAACTTATAAATATAGATTTTAAGCCAGGCTCGGTGGCTCAGCCTGTAATCCTGCGCCTTTGGGAGGCTGAGGTGAGTGGATTGCCTGAGCCCGCGGGTTCGAGACCTGCCTGGGCAGCGAGACCTCATCTCTACAATAAATCAAAAAATCAGCCGAGCATGGTAGCGCATGCCTGTTATTCAGGCTACTTGGAAGGCTGAGGTGGAAGGATCACCGGAGCCCAGCAAGTCGAGGCTGCGGTGGCCAGGAGCGGCCACTGCACTCCAGTCTGGACGACAGAGTGAGACGCCAACTCAAAAAATAAATAAATAAATAAATACAGATTTTTAACTAGATTTTCTTATTCACTTAAATGTGTAATATAAAACACATTTCATTAGACTGAATGATCTCTAAGGTCTTATTTAGCTCTAAAATTTTATTACTCTGTTTAAAATAGCCTCCATGTGTACAATGACCATTTGTATACCTAATCCTGAATTGTACCCCACATCTTTAAAATAAAATTTTAAATTTTTAAAAATTTTTAAAAGTTAAAATAATAATAATAAAATAGTCTCCGTGACCTTCAGTCACATATGTGATTTTTCATTTTTATTAGAGACAAGGTCTTGCTCTGTTGCTCAGGTTGGCATGCAGTGACAGCTACATAACTCATTGTGGCGTCGAACCCCTGGGCTTAGGCAATCCTCTCACCTCAGCCTACCAAGTACCTAGGACTACAGGCGCAGTCTTTATGTATGTGTATGTATGTATATAAAATATATAGTGTATATACATAAATTATAGCATATGCACACATATGTATGAACGTATATTATTTCTTTGTTTTGAGTTGAGGTCTATCATCTAGACTGGAGTGCAGTGGCATGATCATGGCTCACCAACGCCTCGAACTCCTGGACCATCCTCCAGGGATCCATCCTCCTCAGCCTCTGGAGTAGCTGGGACTACAATGTTTGCCACCATTACCCAGCTAATTTTTTATTTTTTGTAAAGACAGAGTCTTATTGTGTTGCCCAGGCTGGTGTCAAACTCCTGGCTTTTAGTCATCTTCCCACCTTGGCCTCCTGAGTTGCTGGGATTATAGACATGAGCCACTGCACGTGGCCACATATGTGATATCTATGGTATATCAAAAGATAGAGCTTTTTTCCTGAAGAAGAGCTTAAAGACTGGCACAAAGGCATGAATAGTGAGTGTGTCAGGCATGGGAACCACTCAGAACTGTTGAATGTTATTACTAAAAGTAATCTTGGAAATAGTGAAATCTAGGAGTGAGTACTGATGACTGTCTTCAGACCCAGACCTCTGGCTCCTTGCCTAGAAATGTTTCCACTAGTTCCCTGTGTCTGCAGGAGTGTATATAGCTGTAGGGCTCATTCTCTTTCTGAGAAGATTACTGGCAGTTGTGCCAAGAGCCTCATACACTAAAACTGGGTACATGGAAAGCTTGACCACATCAGCTACTGGCCTCTCCTGGCTGACTTGTGTCCCTCCCTATTTATTGCTTCCTTCACCACTTCAGCCAGGATACCCCTGGCGGCACCTTGTCCCTCCTGGTAACCATCTGAATGTCACCACAGATTCCTCCAAAGTTAAAAGTTGTTATTCATTCTTTCAGTGAAGGAAAATGTCTCAGTGATGACCAAACCATAGTTGAAGACAAGAAAATAAGGAAATTTTGGGGGGGTTGGCCTAGTTTGTTAGGGCTACTATAAGAAAATACCTTAGACTGGGTGATTTTTAAATTTCTCAATTTTTAATTTTTTTCCTACTGCCTGTATAATTGCAGAAGAAACTAGATACTAGATAATGTATAAACAATACAAATGTATTGCTCACAGTTCTGGAAGCTGGCCAGCCCAAGATCAAGGTACCACCAGCATCTGGTGAGGGCTCACCCTCTGTGTCATAGATTGTGCCTTCTTGCTGTGTCCTCACATGGTGGAGGGGCACACAAGCTCCCTTGAGCCTCTCTGATGAGGACACTGATTCCATTCATGAGGGCAGAGCTTTCATGACCTCCCACTCAAAGCCCCTACCTCTTAATATCATCACTTTGAGCCAAGCACAGCGGCTTACTTCTGTAATCCCAGCACTTTGGGAGGCGGAGGCAAAAGGATTGCCTGAGCTCAGGGGTTCAAGACCAGCCTGGGCAACTTGGCGAGACCTTGTCTCTAAAATAAATCAAAAAATTAGCTGGGTGTGGTGGCACGCATCTGTAGTACCAGCTACTTGGAAGGCTGAGGCAAAAGGATCACCTGAGCCCTGCAGGTGGAGGCTGCGGTGACCATGAGCATGCCACTGCATTCCAGCCTGGTCAGCAGAGTGAAACTCTGACTCAAAAAAGGAAAAAGAAAAATATTGTCACTTTGGAGGTTAGGTTTTAACATATGAATTTTGAAGGGGGACACAAGCATTCAGACCATAGCAGGGTTTATAGCGGTAAGTCTTAATTCAGTCTTAATTCTGTAGGAAATACAATTTTTTAAAACAACTTTAAAGTAAATATTTTATGACCTTTCTTTTTATAGATGAGAAAACTTATGGCGAAATTTTTGAAAAATTCTATCCAGTACGTTGAAGTCTTCAAAATGCTTGTTCCAGTTTCAAGGATACTTACTATTTCTGAATTTTATGGAACATGTTTCCAATGACAGCTGAAGTTTATGTTACTCTATATGTTAACACCATGTAATTAAAATAGTTATCATGAGTACTTGTCTCTTTTTTCTTGTAAGAAAAATAGTTCATCAGAGCATGGTCAGTTTCCACTCAGCTGGTTTTAAAAAGACATCTGAGGCCGGCCCTGGTGGCTCAGCCTGTAATCCCAGTGCTTTGGGAGGCCAAGGTGAGTGGATTGCCTGAACCCACGGGTTCGAGACCCGTCTGGGGAACTTGGCGAGACCTCATCTCTATAATAAATCAAAAAAAATTAGCCGGGCGTGGTAGTGTGCACCTGTAGTTCCAGCTACTTGGAAGGCTGAGGTGGAAGGATTGCTGGAGCCTCGCAGGTCGAGGCTGCGGTGGCCGGGAGCGGCCACTGCACTCTAGTCTGGGCAACAGAGTGAGACTCCAACTCAAAAAAAAAAAAAAAGACATCTGAAAGATTTTTAAATGAAGTGTAATTTTAGTTTGGAATTGACAAACTACAGCTTATAGGCCAAATCTGGCCCACTGCCAATAAAGTCGTGTTGGAACACAACCATTCTCATTTGTTTACTTGTTGTTTATGGCAGCTTTCATGCTGCAACAACAGAACTGAGTAGTTGTGACAGAGACCTATGGCCTGCAGAGCCTAGTTAATATCTGACCCCTTGCAGAAAAGGCTTGCCTACATCTGTATTAGTGCAAAGCGAATTTAGGGTGAGCTGGATTATGGAGGACTTTGTGAGTCAGGCAAAATAATTTTGTTTTGAGTCGAGATCTCACTCTGTCACCCAAGCTGGAGTGTGGTGGTACAATCATGGCTTAACAGCCTCAGCCTCCTGGACGATCTTCCTGCCTCAGCCTCCCAAGTAGCTGGGACTATACACATGCAGTAATATAGTAAGATCTTATCCCTACAAAAATTAGCTGACTGTAGTGGCATGCACCTATAGTCCCAACTACTTGAGTGACTGAGGCAGAAGGATCACCTGAGCCCAGGAGGCCAAGGCTGTGGTAAGCTGTGATCATGCCACTGTACTCCAACCTGAGCGACAGAGTGAGACTCTGAATTGAAAAAATAGATTATACCTAACTGGAATGAGGTTACTCCACGGCTTATCAAACACTGGTCCACAAAGTTATTGTTCCCAAATTCCAATTTTATAATCACCCCCAGTTTTGGAGATGAATGAAATTATTGTTTCTTTATATGTGATTTCAAATTAGGTGTTGGTGCAAGTATAAGCAGGTGGTTTCTGGGCAAGATTAATGAATTCTGTCTCTTCTCTTGAGTACCACTGGTAAAAAATAATGAAATGTTGGAGAAAGTGCTTTAGAAATGATGAAGAGATGTACAAATACAAGGTCTTTTTTTAATTACTGCAATAAATAGGTATTCACCTATGCTTGGCTTCATCAGTGGTCAGCAAGTACAAGAGGGTGAACCACTCATCCCGAGGGACTCTACTGTTTCTTAGCTCCAGAGGGTAAAAAGGACCAGAGCAAATACAAAGGCGAGGATAGGAGGAAAAATCAGGCCATGATAATAGCTGTCATATGCCAGCTGCTTTTGAGTCATGTTTAATTTTCATAAGCTTGGAGGTAGATGACGTTATCCCCATTTTATAGATGAAGGAATTTAGGTTCCAGTGGGTTAAAAACTGGCCCAAGAGCACATAATGCAGGACTGCCAAGAGGAGCCTTGTGAACTTTGGTCACATGCTAACAGCAATGCTCTTTCTACCGTACGACACTGGGCGGGTGACTGTCCACCATGAACCACTGTCACCACCCCAAACTGGTGAGAGGAGCGAGGGGTGTTGTGAATAGCAACAGGTGTCCTAATCATGAGCTGGTGACCGAAGTCCAGGAGTTGGTGCTCGGAAGGAGGTGGAGAAGCATGCTGGAGAACCGAGTCACCTTGGCTTCCACTGCAGGTCTAGGCCTTCTGGTCTCCTCATCAGGGCCAGGAAACTGCTCTGCAGCCTTATCACAGAGTCTGCCTTCTATCATGTACAGTGATCTGTGGAGTGTGGAAAATTTTAAAAAGTCAATTCAGTATAAATTCCCACAGCTAAGGTACTGTCCCATGCCTATTAGAGTAGTAAGAACAATGAAAAACCTCAATAATGGCATTTCTGTAGGAAAACTGGCAATGCCTCGGCACTGTAAGAAGAATCATGGGGGTGAGAGCTGGCGTGACTCATCTGATTCCTTCTCTACATTTTGCCAACAAGGAAACTGAGATGCAGAAAGGTGAAATAAGTTGTCTAGGACCACACAAAGGTCAATGGCAGAGCCAGGATAAAAAGCCTTTTTTTTTTTCTTTTTGAGTCAGAGTCTTACTCTGTCGCCCAGGCTGGAGTGCAGTGGCACAATCATGGCTCACCGCAGCCTCAACCTCCTAGTGACTGCAGGTCCTTTTCCACCCCCTATGCTGCATCGCCGTCTCACAACCCCAGCTGCTATGTGCAGAGACATGCAGGCTCAGACTCCAACATGTATGCATTTATGCACACAACAGGTATGCTCACACTCGGGTGTGCCTGGAATGGGTTAGAGTGCCAAGACAATGGTCCCTCGCCTGCCTGTTTGGCTGGCTGAATTTCAGCATGGCCAGAGTACCCCAGCCTGTTGTACTGTGAGCGCCTCACCTCCGTACCCCCATGTGTCATATAAATAAAGTTTTCCATGTTCGGTGACTTGAAAAGAATGTTGGTAATCACTGTCACACACACACAGAATTCACAGTGTCCACCTAAGTAAATATACATAACTTGGGTAAGCTTCTTCATTTGGAGGATGGAAAGAATACAACCTATCTTTGTAGCTTTACTGGAGATGAAATGAGATAAGTCTATGTCGAGCACTTAGAAGCTGTGCTGGCAGTTGGGTACAGTGGCTCATGCCTGTAATCCAACACTGGGAGGGGAGATGAGAGAATTGCCTGAGCCTAGGGGTTCAAGATCAGGTTGGGCAGCTTGGCGAGACATCATCTTGACAGCAAATCAAAAAATGAGCTGGTCATGGTGGCTCACACCTGTGGTTACAGCTACTTGGAAAGCTGAGGCAGAAGGATCACCTGAGCCCAACAGGTCAGGCTGCAGTGGCTGTGAGCATGCTACTGCACTCCAGCCTGGGTGACAATGAGACCCTGACTCAAAAAAAAAAAAAAAGCTGTGCTGGCACTTACTATGTGCACAAATGGAAGCTATTATTTTTTTTTTTTTGGAGTTGGAGTCTCACTCGGTTGCCCAGACTGGAGTGCAGTGGCCGCTTCTGGCCACCACA